CTAGAAGGAAGCTGCAAGCAGAAGAGGAAGAGGGACTGACTGACTCCGTCCTGTCTTCTCATTTTTCATAGCTTCATTCCAAAAATGTCTTTACCCTGACAAAGGTAGTTCCTTCCCACAGCAGCAGTTGAATCCAGTTTGCAGTTTTCCCATCATGGGCAGAACCCTGGGTACACTATATCACCTCCATACACCATCCCTACACACCTTACTTCCAGGTCTAGAAACACCATCAGTCATTCTTTGAAGAAGTCTGAGACCCAACCACATGGAGAACCTTCCCTAAGATTTTGTTTTAATAATTTGAATTTGTTCCCTCATCCTATATAAACTATAGTTTTTACTCCCATGATACATGGTTCTCAGACTGTGGTCCCAGAATCAGCAACATCAGCATGTCTTGGGAATCAGTTAGAAATGCAGATTACCTAGCACAATCCAACCTACTGAGTCAGTGACTCAGATGGTGTGAGCAGAAATCTGTGTTTAACAAGCACTCCAGCTGACCTTGACACATATCTAAATTTGAGAGTCACTATCCACTGCCTTAGAGTTCTCACTCCACTCTTTTGGTTGCCTAGTTAACAGTATAGTTAACTATTCCTTATTTCTCTGTTCAAATACCTGGTGTGGAATAACCTAATACTGTAGTGTTCTATCAAATGTTTAATGTAGCATCAACACTAATTCTTTTTAAACTCTTTCAAAATAGAAGAGAAGGAAACATTTTCTATGAGACCAGCATTATCAAAGCTGGAAAGACACCATTAGGAAAGTCCAATATTCTTTATGAATAAAGATGAAAAAATCTTTAAGAAGTAAAAAATGTACACTGTATCCAGCAACATAGTAAAGAGATTATGAAACATGACCAAGTGGGAATTATCCCAGTAATTCAAGAGTGGACTGACATATGAAAACCAACCAATGTAATACACTACAATAGAATGAAGAATAAAATACCACAATCATCTCAATGAAGAAAAAAACATTTGACAGAATCCAACATCCTTTTATGATAAAACAAAACTAAACAAGTAACAAACAAACAAAAACTCCACTCAACAAACAAAGGGGAACATGCCACAACATGATAAAGGTAGTCTATGAAAAATCTTTAACTAATATACTCAAAGGTGAAGAGCTGAAAGCTTTCCTCCTAAGGTAAGAAGACAGAAAGCAAAGATATACTGGAAGTTCTAGTCAGAAAATCAGGCAAGAAAAATAAATAAGACACCCAAACTGGAAAGGAAAACTATCTACCTGGAGATGACATGATCCTTAAGACAGAAAATTCTTAAGAGTAACACACACACACACACCCCCCAAAAACAAAACTACTAGAGCCAATAAATTCAACGAAGTTTCAGGTTACACAATCAACACACAAAAATCAGATGTATTTTATACATGAGAAATGAATAGTCTAAGAGTGAAATTAAATGTAAAGACACCCCATATTCATGGGTAGAAAAGGCTTAAGTTATTAAGATTATCGTCTTCAGTTCAGTTCAGTTCAGTTCATTTCAGTTCAGTCGCTCAGTCGTGTCCGACTCTTTGCAACCCCATGAATCGCAGCACGCCAGGCCTCCCTGTCCATCACCAACACCCGGAGTTTACTCATACTCATGTCCATCGAGTCGGTGATGCCATCCAGCCATCCCATCCTCTGTCATCCCCTTCTCCTCCTGCCCCAATCCCTCCCAGCATCAGGGTCTTTTCCAATGAGTCAACTCTTCGCATCAGGTGGCCAAAGTATTGGAGTTTCAGATTCAGCATCAGTCCTTCCAATGAACATCCAGGACTGATCTCCTTTAGGATGGACTGGTTGGATCTCCTTGCAGTCCAAGGGACTCTCAAGAGTCTTCTCCAACACCATAGTTCAAAAGTATCAATTTTTCAGTGCTCAGCTTTCCTCACAGTCCAACTCTCACATCCATACATGACTACTGGAAAAACCATAGCCTTGAAGAGATGGACCTTTGTTGGCAAAGTAATGTCTCTTACTACACCCAAAATGATCTATAAGTTCAGTGCAATCCTTAGCAAGATGCTGATAGTTTATGGTGGTGATCTCTAAAGATTTAGCTTCCAGGCTTGATTACTCAGAGCTTTTGTGTGCAAAAGTTTTACTACAGTGAAAAAGAGCAGAAAGTTTCTGACACAGACATCAGAAAGGGGATGGAGAATGCCCCTCACTAGTGTTAGCAAGAGAGCTATATACTTTTTCAATTGGTTATTAACAATAAATCAAAAGAATGTCTCAAGTTTGTAAAGGTCCTACCAGACCCACTCCCACAATTTACATTTTAAGATGGCAGGATTAGTCAGAAGGTTCTTAAGAGAAACATGTCCTCAAGCAAGACACCTTGTTGTTATATAATCATTGGTACAGAGTTTAAGGAAAAACGTATCTGAGAGCAAGATGAATTGTTTTGTTGTATAATCATCAGCTCTGGGCTTAAACAAAAAAATGTTTTATGTCACTAACATGAAGGAATGTAGAAAAAAGTCTGTCCTTTTCTCCTCCTGGGGACCCCCAGATTTCTTATCAATGTACCTAAGAATTAACTCTTTCAATACCAACTACCTTCCCCTGCCGTCCCCTCCCTGAAATGGAAAAGCTGGTCTTAAAATTCGTGAGGAATTCCAAGGGACACTGACTAGTCAATAAACCTTTAAAAAGAACAAAGTTGGAGAACTCATACATTCTGATCTAAAAACTCAATATGATAAAGCTACAGTAATCAAAACTGTGTGCTACTGCCATTAGGATAGAAAAATAGACCAACATACGAGAAAGCTCAAAAATAGACCCATACATCATTGTTCACTGAATTTTCAATAGGGGGTGCCAAGACAATTCAGTGGGGAAAGAATATGATACTCAGTCACTAAATACTCAAATGCAAAAAAGAATGACACTGAAATCTTACCTCACACCACATACAAAAGTAAGTTCAAGAAAGGCCAAAGAACTAAATGTGAAAGTGCAAACTATAAAACTTTTAGAAGAAGAAAACATATTGTTAATTCATAACCTCAGACTTGATACTAAATGCTTAGATAGGACACCAAACAAAGGACCAAAAAAAAAAAAAAACTGATAAACTGGACTTCGTTAACACTAAAACTTTTGTGCATCAAGACACAATCACGAAAGTGAAAAGAGTGCCCACAGAATGGGAGAAATTTTCAAATTATACATTTGATCAAGAGTACTGTGTCCAGAATTTATAAAGAACTCTTACAACTCAATAATAGAAAAGTCATCCTGATTCAAAAATAGGCAAAGGATTTGCACAGACATTTCTTAAAAAAAAAAAGTATATATAAATGGCAAATAAGGATACAAAAAGATGCTCTACATGATTAGTCATTATGGAAATGCAAATCAAAACCATAAGATACAACTCTAAACCCACTAGGATGTCTACAAACAACAGCCAACAAAATGGAAATTAACAAGTATTGGCAAAGACATGCAGAAGTGAAGCTCTCCGACATTACAGATAGGACGGTAAAATGAGGAGTTGCTGTGTCAGTTCCTCAAATGGTTAAACAGTACTACGTGACCTAGCAATTCTATTATATACCTAAGAGGACATGCTCACCAAAAACATGGACAAGAATGTTCACAACAGGTTAATATTCATATTAACCTAAAAGTGAAAACCATCCAAATACCAAATGATATTATCAATTGCTAAGTGAATAAAGGAAAATTCCATTCAGTGCATTTTGCATACGCATAAAATAGAATATTCACCCTTAAAAAGGAATAAAATTTGACACATGATACAACATGGATGAACCTTGAAAACATGCTATGTGAAAGAAGCCAGACACAAAATGTCACATACTGTATGATTCCATTTATATGAAATATTCAAAATAGGCAAATCTACAGACAGAGAAAGTATATTACTGGTTTCCAGGGGATGGGGATGGGGAAATTGGTAGTGACTGCTAATGGTGATGGGGTCTATCTTTTGGGATGATGGAAATGTTCTAGAATTGATGCTAATAGTTGTACAATTTTGTGAATAAACTAAACATCACTGAATTGTACACTGTGGAATAGTTAAAATGGTGACTTGTATCTCAATATAAAAAATCTACCTAAGTTTAAAAAAAACTGTGACAAGATATACCTAATTAAATGGATCATTTTAACCATTTTTAGGTAAGTTCAATGGCATTGAGTACATTTACACTGTTGGGCAACCAGCCTCACCATCCATCTCCAGAACTTTTCTTGCAAATCTTTGCAACTCCATGGACTGTAGTCCACTAGGCTCCTCTGTCCATGGGATTTTCCAGCCAAGAATACTGGAGTGGGTTGCCATTTCCTTCCCCAGGAGATCTGCCTGACCCAGAGATCAAACCCATAGTTTCTGAGTCTCCTGAATTGCAGATTCTTTACCACGGAGCCACATGGAAAGCCCCAAACTGAAACTCTATCCATTACATAATAACTTTCCACTTCCATTTCCCCCAAGTCCTGGCAACTACTGTTCTACTTTCTGTGTGAATCTGACTAGATATTTCATATAAGTGGAATCATACAGTATTTGTCCTTTTGTGACAAAAATATGAGTCCCGCTTATTTCACTTAGCATAACATCTTCAAGGTTCATCCATGTTGTTACATGTGTTACAATCCTTTTAAAGGCTGAATAATATTCCATTTGTGTATATACCATATTTTCTTTATCCACTCACACAACAATGGACACTTGAGTTCTTCCACCTTTTGGCTACTGTGAATAATGCTGCTAATAAACATGGGTGTATAAGTAACTGTTTGTATCCCTGCTTTTTAAAAAATTTTTAAAAAGTTGTGAACTCATTTTGAAGATTTTGAAATGAAACTAATTTTGAAAATACACATATGTTTTGCATTAGCTTAAGGACTAAAAACTTATTTTAGCTGAAAGTCACCAAAGGAGAACCTAAAGATCAATGGTACCATTTGCTTTAAAGAAATACAAAAGACATAAAAGTATCCATTGCAAATTTATTATGCATTAAGAAGCTTAACTTAAAAACCAACAGCATAGTAAAAAAAGATATGTTATCTTTGTTCATACCAGAACAGGTTTCAAAATATATTTTCTTTTAAATGTATTCAGTCAGTACACAATCCTTTATAAAAGTTGTATATATACTTTTTCTGTCAATACTTTCATTATATTTATAAATACAAGATTTACACAGCACCCCATCAAAAAAAATTAAAACTCTTTATGATATAGCTACATATATTTCATACCTATAAAACTTTCAAAGGAGTGCTATGTTAAAGTTGGGCCCTAGTTAAATGCTCCACTTACTCGTGCAGCAAAACACACATAAATCTAAAGTTTTCTTTGTCCATAAAACATCTTGAAAAATTAGCAAGACACTTGTGAAACTGAGCTTCTTAAACCCATATTTTAGAAAGGGATTTGCTGTGCATATTCCTATGAGATTCAAAAGGCAGGTAACAGATGAAAACAAAGGCTGAAAACAAATGCCTACATAAAACAGTTAAGGTGGGGATGTGATGAATGAGAAACACTGAAAAGCAGGACACCGGATATGTGGGTGGGAGTAAATAGTAATAAAACATGACGTGAGTCTAAACTTGGATATAAACTCCACTGGTATCCAGTTGCTAACTCTCATCTTCACTTAGGAATGTTTACATTGTTGAAAACGTTCTTACAAGCACCCTCCAATTTCTATGTTGCCACCAGAATGCTTGATGTATGTTTTTCCTCTGTAAAATCGCCATGGATCTAACCAAGACATTAGGTCCAGGAATCTGAACTGCTAGTTCTTCATGATTTAAATTTATTAAAAATTTTTCCTTCCTCTGGTAAAGGTATTAAATAATACTAATCAGTATTGTTACTATCCAGAGGTATATATGCTGAATGTCATTCTAGCCAAGAATAGGAAGCAGAGAAGAAAAGGAGAGTAAGACTAGATTTTTGCTGATCTTAGAACAAAGGCAACAGATCCCTGACTGAGTGACTCCTGAAGCAACCACTTATAAACAGCTATGGGATAAATGCACATAGTTCAGAGGAACGGAAGAGGAGAAAATATGGGATTTTTTATCTTAAATTTTGTCAGAAACAGCAGTTGTATTACAATCCTGCACCTTTTGAAAAGGCATGATCACTCCTACACTGACATTATTAAAGGAAAGCCATCATTTCTACCACAGATGACTACTTCTATCTGAGTCTCTGAATGTGGATCCCAGATAACTTTGAGAGTTGCATATTATTTGCAGGAAAGTATAACATTTCAAATCTTAATTAGTTCTAACGTATAATGAAAGGAAAAGGAAAAGAATGCTGGAAAAGGAACAGGAGGAGGAAGGGGAGGAAGACAGAGGGATGGAGGTGGTTACTTCTCAAACTCAGCCCTGAAGGATGCCACTAGTATCTCCCCTCCAGCACCATGAAGTCTCCATGTGGTGTGGCTCCATGACTCTCAGAGATGGTGTCCACAGAATCCTTTCTGCAGAATTTATAGCTCAGTGCACTGATGCCCAGGCTCTTCAAGGGAAGAAAGCTCCCAGATGCTGCTGTCCTGAAGCAGTGGCTCAATGTCCTCATCACTGCCCCGTTCTGGAGTGTTGGCCAGGCTGCCACTGATACTGTTGCTGTGTTTTTGAATTCTACTGCCTTTACTGTACTCAGGGATGAATACAGCAACCAGGAAAGACATAAAAACTATACACGCCCCAAACAAAAATGGCGGGCCTGGGATGACAGCTCCCTGGTGGGTACGGAAACAAATGAAGATGAAGAATTTGGTTAGCCTTTCAAAGTGAAATTAGTACTGGATAAACCAAAAAAAATAAAAAAATAAAAACCACACCATTGAAAAGTGAGTTATTTTCTCATTAGCAAATGTTCATTAACTGTCATGGCAAATTCTAACAAAGTCTTGTGTCTGGAATATAATGGAGGGCAATTAATCACTGCTTTGTGCACCACTTCCTGACAGCTTAACCAAACATGTATGCAACAGCTGTTTATCTCTAATCTTGCCCTGAGAACTGAGATCATGCAGTCTGTATACATAAGAACATTAACTCCAGTTTTGTACAGAAATCTATATTAAACATAGACTGGAAGGAGGGAAATAACAGCAAGTAAAAGGTAGAAAGAGCACTTTAGCTCAATTTGTAGCTGGAAGTTTAGGTCATTTCATCTTTTACTTGGCCTGAGTTTCACCAGAGGATAGCATTTTCACTAGAGAAATGATGTAGGTGAAAACAGAATCTGAACAAAGGCAGGACAAATATTTTACATAAGACATTATCACTGAAATGATCCCTCCCTAGTCCCAAGAAGCAATGAACACAACACTTACTATTGTCAAATACAATAGTAATATTATAAAACTAAGAACACTTTCCAAATTTAAGGTCACAAGATTTTGCTCTAATCAGATACAACTGTTAAAAACTAGGCTTATTACCAAATTACCTGTAGGGCAGCATTGTTAGAAATCAATTCTGGTTCCAACTCAGTCAGTTCCACATGGAACATGTAGAATATGAAGCCATACAAGGCTGGTCCCAGTCCATTACAGAGTCCTCTTATTCCAGTTATGATACCCTGGGCAACTCCTGAGTCAGAACAAAGAGAAGGGAGCCAGTCTTCTCAGAAAAGCATCTCAAGATTGGAGACTTAAGAGCCCTTTCTTTTAAACTATAAAATACTGATTAAACTGGACTGAGTACCCATCATACTGATATCCATTCATTGTACAAATGTTTCCTTGTCCTTTTCTATGCCCTTATAATGCTGTACTCACTATCTGTCCTAAGGATCTACAAGGATATGAAATGACACCAATGTTTCTAAAATCCCTTTGAGGCTGAATTCCCCCTGAACAACAGATCTTCCTATAAACAGGGAATGATAAAATGAAAAATTTTAATACTCTCAATTTATAGGCAATTTCTACTTTTTTGTGGATTGAGATTTTCCTCTTCTGCTTATTTAATGGTGCTTTTACAATAAAAATCTGTCCTTTGCCTCTTGTATCCCTGCCCAAGTGTCAGTCCATAGGGGTCCTGAATCTGTGTGCTTCCAGCACCTCCTGACAGATTCTGTTCCTCACAGTGATCGCTGTATTCCAAGTACACCTGTACTGAAAAATCCCAGAAGTGTCAATTTCTAGGTATCTCTGGTGTCTCAGTGTGGCAGGTAAAAATTATCTTGAATCATGAGATGGATGTTTCTGTAAGTCAAAAACGGTCAAATATAATTCAACCTAATATATTGTGTTCTAATAAGTTTATATGCTGACATTTAGAAACATCTGTATTAATACCATGCAAACATAAAAAAACCCAAAGCAAATTCATGCAGTGAGAGACAAAGATAAGAGTCTCTTAGAGCCAAGGCAATGCCCATCCTTCACGGATAGCTCATGCCTTTACTTCAACCACATCTCTCAAGGATGCAGTCAACTAAGTTACCATAACCAGGGTAACACACAGATTTAGTCTTCAAATGATACTGCTATATTTAAAATAGATAACCAGCACAGATCTGTTGTAGAAAAAAAAAATTTAAAAACAAAAGTAGATATGAGTAAAATGGCTAATTTCCAATGTGAAAAAAATAAGTGCAACCAATAAACTATCCTTTTCAATCTAGTTTTTTTAATTGAAACTTTATAAAGATCTCTAAGACATAAAATTTTTTTCTTCTAAAATTCACTATTTCCTGACTATAGTCAGGTAAACCACTAAGTGATGGAGAAGGAAAATAATTTTAGCAGTAAGAAGTACCTGATAGGGAAGCCAGAGGCACAAGAAGGATGAAGGGTCTAGACATTTACAGTGCTACTCTACATAATCATCTTACTTTTGTCTCTCACTCTGCATCCAATTATCAAAAACTACACAGATTTATCTGCTCTTTATCTGCTCAAAGAATCATTTTCTAAACTGAGTAAATAATGGACTTTGAGTGATTCCAAATTAAAGAAACTTCAGTGATTACAAGTGATTAAATAAAGGACTAATGGTTTTTCAAGCTTTTCTATCATTATTTAATAGATATTTGTTAAAATATGAGTATAGTCTAGTAAATTCTGATGGTAACATAAAAGAAGGGTCAAAACTGAAAAGAGAAATTAGATAGTTGTATTTCTAAGTATTCTGACTTGCTGTGTCCAGATTTCAAAAATGAGTATAAAATCAAAGCAGGAAGGAAAAGAGAATTTTCCTATTTGCCAACGTAAAGAGGTATGATTGCTCAGCAGGGACCACACAGCTGTAACCTGTTTCTATGCTGACGTGGAAAGAGGCTCAGAGATGCTCACGCTCCTGGCAGGTACATCTCCACTGAGGGAAAGAAACAGTGAGGGGGACAGTGGCCTCACCTTGCTGATTTGACTCTGCATTCTGAGAGACGAGGGTACTGACTGCTGGAAACGTAATGCTGGACACGGCGGCCACAATCCCTGCTGCCCACATCATCCTGCAATGACAGGTCAGGCTGTGGTCAGGGGGCAGCCCAGCCCCAGTGACAGTGCTGTTCAGAGTACAAGTGGCAAAAGCACAAAATGCTTTCTGTTGTCTTGTATTAAGTTGTATTTATTTTTTTCCTCTTTGACATTTTTTTTTTTAAACCTAGAAAGTTACACAGCACACTGTTAATACTAATACTGATCACTTCATGAGCTGGGAAAGCTTCATTTCTTTATCTTACCTGTCAAAATATGTTTTTCTTCCTGGTTTCTCTATTGCCATCTTTAAATGCAAGCTCAATGAAATTCAAAAGGATTTCTTGTTTCTATAAATCCACATTTTTTCTCACCAACTTTCCACTTTTCTCTCGTACTTTTCAAAGGCTGACCTCCAAACTGCCCTTAGGCTGCTCAGTTTTTCACCCTCAATAAAGTGTTGTGTGCAACCAACAGAAAAAAACGGAGGCCTGAAGTTCAGGATGACATCTTGCAGACTTCCAAGTCTGCTTCCTTTAGACCTGCATCTCAGTGAAAGGAGCCTATGTTCCTTTGAACTTATGTGTGTGTTAGTATTAAGCGTGAGTGTGAGCAAAGTCCAGTGCCAAATGAGCTAGAAACCTGTTTGACCAGACTGTCTTGGGGATGACAAGAATAACCTTACTTAAAAGGAAAAACCCTTTAGGTCGATAGAATCAGCTGTTGAACCAAAGTTCATAGGACTAAAATTAAGGTTTCCAAGAACAAGAAGAATCTACCACTAACCACCTAAAGCATTTCAAGTTCTAAACTGTGTCATTCATTTTTGGTTGTAAAATAAGGACCAAGTCAAACATTTTAAATGAAGATATGAACCATAGTATTTGGTAATAGGCACATAAGGAAACTTGCCACACAACAAAACAGCACTCACTTCTTTTTATTTTTTCTTATTCCACAGGGCTTAATTTGACTTGCTTTCCTATTAACAGGAATCTAATTGTTAGAAGTAATAAGACTGCCTCTGGGTACAGAAGCTTTTGGAGGAGATCTTAGTGTTCATCTAACTCACATACTTTATATTATAAAGATTATGTCACTGTCCAATGTTACTCAGCTAATTATAGCATTAAATCCTGCCATAATCAGTCATTTTTCCTTGTTTCCTTGTTTTGTTTTTGACTATACATGCTGTCACCAAAAACTGACAAATGTGTTTAACAATTAGGCATAAAACTTTTTTTTGGAGGGTTGGAGAAAGAGATACATATATTTAGTTAAGTAACATCTCACTGAAAGCTTGCTGAGGTGAAGGTAATCTGTCTGAATAAAGTGGAATTATCTAGCTGTACCCTTCCTCAAGCTAAGGCTAAAGAGTTTTTGAAATTTTGAATACACTATGCTAGTAAAATAACTCCTGCTTCTTTTGCATGAACACTCAGCTAACTGAAGCTCCTCTAAAAGATAAATCTGTCATGAGAATCTATCGGAGAGACTTACCATGCTTGAGATCCAAAACCGTACCAGGCTAGCTGGAACATCTGGAAGCCCAAACCAAGGAGAACAGTGTTCTTATTCCCTAATGCTCTCATCAAGCTAGTAAGAAAGACTGTCTGCAAAGCAAAGGGGATAATCATTAGAAATCATATAAGCACAGAGATTTCATGCAAGCTCTGTGAAAAAGCCCATTAATGGTGACCAAGAACCTCTAATTGCAGCCCACTTGACCTGAGACCTTGGAAACCACATAGAACTGACGCAGCTCTAAAAGCAGTGAAGCTTCAAGGACTTCCCAGACCGACCTGGGCTCAGGGCCTCCAGCCTCCTCCCAAAGAATCTGTTTATGTGCTGCTTCTTGTTGTTCAGTCACTAAAACTCTTCGACCCCATGAACTGCAGCACATCAGACTTCCCTGTCCTCCACTATATCCCGGAGTTTGCTCAAACTCATGTCCATTGAGTCTGTGATGCCATTGAACCATCTCATCCTCTGTTGCCCCATTCTCCTCCTGCCTTCAATGTTTCCCAGCATCAGGGTCTTTTACAATGAGTTGGCTCTTTGTTACCAGGTGGCCAAAGTATCAGAGTTTCAGCTTCACTCCTTCCAATGAATATTCAGGGTTGATTTCCTTTAGGATTGACTGCTTTGACCTCCTTGTAGTTCAATTGGTGGGAGTTAACAGTTTCACAAAGTTGGATTGATACAAATATGATTTTAACAAATATAAAATGTGTTAGTCACTTTAGTCACTCAGTCCTGTCCGAGTCTTTGCAACCCCATGGACTATAGCCCGCCAGCCTCCTCTTTCCATGGAATTCTTCAGGCAAGAATACCAGAGTGAGTTGCCATCCCCTTCTCCAGGGGACTTTCCTAACCCAAAAATTGAACTCGGTCTCTTGCACTGCAGGCAGATTCTTTACTGTCTGAGCCACCACTCTGCTAAAAAAAGTAGGTGAGATAGACTGAAAGGGGAATCTGGGCTAACTAACCAGAGTTAATATTAAAAAACAAAAAACAAAATCATAAGCAACTTGAAAGTTTAACATAATTTACATTGACTGATACAGTTAAAAAGTAAAAGGCGTTTACCTGAATGTATTCCTATGAGGTATATCAGTTCTAGTATTTTGGGAAAACAATTTTGTGGCATTCTCATTTCTCTTCCAGACAGACTTATCACAGAAGAGCGTTCCACATGGCCTACCATGCTTTAAAACAGCATATAGCCTCATCATGAATCCCAGCCTTGTGGTGAAGGGGCCTATAACTCAGTGAAGCTATAAGCCATGCCCTGCAGGGCCAACATGGATGGGTTGTAGTGAACAGTTCTGACAGAACATGGTCCACCAGAGGAAGGAATGGCAAACCCCTTCAGTATTTTTGCCTGGAGAACCTCATGAGCAGTATGAAAAGGCAGAAAGATATGACACCAGCAGATGAGCTCCCCCAAGTTGGAAGGAATGCAATATGCTACTGGGGAAGATCAGAGGGCAATTATGAATAGCTGCAAAAAGGATTAAGTTGGTTGGACAAAACAGGAATGACACTTAGCTGTGGATGTATCCACTGATCAAAGAAAAGTCTGATGCTGTAAAGAACAATACTGCATAGGAACCTGGAATGTTATGTTTATGAATCAAGTTGGACGTAGTCAAGCACAAGATGGAAGAGTGAACATCGACATTTTAGGAATCAGTAAATTAAAATGGACAGGAACGGGTGAATTTAATTCAGATGACCATTATATCTACTACTGTGGGCAAGAACCCCTTAGAAGAAATGGAGTAGCCCTTATAGTCAACAAATGAATCCAAGATGCAGTACTTGGGTGCAATCATAAGAACAATAAAATGATCTCAGTTCATTTTCAAGGCAAACCATTCCAATATCACAGTAATCCAAGTCTATACCCCCCAACCACTAATGCTGAAGAAACTGGAGTCAAACAGTTCTCTGAAGACTTACAAGACCTTCTAGAACTAACACCAAAAAAAGATGTCCTTTTCATTACAGGGGACTGGAATGCAAAAGTAGGAAGTCAAGAGATATGTGGAGTAACAGGCAAGGTTTGGCTTTGGGAGTACAAAATGAAGCAGGGCAAAAGCTAACAGACTGTTGCTAAAAGAACACATTGGTCATAGCAAACACCCTCTTCCAACAATATAAGGGATGGCTCTACAAATGGATTTCACCAAAGAGTCAATATTGAAATCAGACTGATTATATTCTTTGCAGCCAAAGATGGAGAAACTTTATACACTCAGCAAAAACAAGACCTGGATTGGGCTGTGACTCAGATCATCATCTCCTTATTGTAAAATTCAGGCTTAAACTGAAGAAAGTAGGGAAAACCACTAAGCCATTCAGGTAAGATCTGAATCAAATCCCTTATGATTATACAATGAAGATAATGAATAGATTCAATAGATCTGATAGAGTGACTACAGAACTATGGATGGAGGTTTGTAACACTGCACAGGAGTCAATGACCAAAACCATCTCAAAAGAAAAAGAAATGCAAGAAGGCAAAGTGGTTGTCTGAGAGGGCTTTACAAATAGCTGAGGAAAGGAGAGAAGTGAAAGGCAAGGGAGAAAGGGAGAGATATAACCAAATGAATGCAGAAAATAGCAAGGAGAGATAACAAGTCTTTGTCTCAGTACATCAGCAAATTTGGAAAACTGAGCAGTGGCCACAGGACTGGAAAAGGTCAGTTTTCATTCCAATCCCAAAGAAGGGCAATGTCAAATAATGTTCAAACTACCATACAATTGCACTCATTTCACATGCTTGCAAGGTTATGCTTAAAATCCTTCAAGCGAGGCTTCAGCAGTACATGAATCAAGAACTTTCAGATGTTCAAGCTGGGATCAGAAAAGGCAGAGGAATGAGAGATCAAATCGCCAATACTTGATGGATTATAGAGAAAGCAAGGGACTTCCAGAAAAACATTTACTTCTGCTTCACTGACTATTCTAAAGTGTTTGATTGTGTGGAAAACAGCAAACTGTGGAAAATTCTTAAAGAGATGGGAATACCAGATCACCTTACCTGTCTCCCAAGAAACCTGTATGCAAGTCAAGAAGCAAATTTAGAATTGGACATGGAACAACTGACTGATTCCAAATTGGGAAAGAAGTACGTGAAGGCTGTATCTTGTCACCCTGCTCATTTAATTTATATGCCAAGTATATCATGAGAAATGCTGAGCTTGATGAATCACAAGCTGGAATCAAGACTGCTAGGAGAAATATCAACAACCTCAGATATGCAGATGATACCACTCTAATGGTAGGAAAGCAAAGAGGGACTAAAGAGCCTCTTGATGAGAGTGAAAAAGTTGGCCTGAAACTCAACATTAAAAAAACTAAGATCAAGCCATCCAGTCCCATCACTTCACAGCAAATAAAAGGGCAAAAAGTGGAAACAGTGACAGATTTTATTTTCTTGGGCTCCAAAATCACTGCGGACAGTGACTGTAGCCATGAAATTAAAACACACTTGCTCCTTGGAAGGAAAGCTATGACAACCCTAGACAGCATTTTGAAAAGCAGAGACAATGCTTTGCTGACAAAGGTCTGTACAGTCATTGCTATGGTTTTTCTGTAGTCACATATGGATGTAAGTTGTGTCATAAAGAAGGCTGGGCACTGAAGAATTGATGCTTTCTAATTTGGTGCTGGAGAAAACTCTTCAGAGTCCCTTGGACTGCAAGGAGATCAAACCAGTCAATCCTAAAGGAAATCAACCCTGGATACTCATCGGAAGGACCAATGCTGAGGTTGAAGCTCCAATACTTTGGACCCCTGATGGGAAGAGCCAACTCACTGGAAAAGATCCAGATGCTGGGAAGATTGAAGGCAAAAGGAAAAGGGGGCTGCAGAGCATGATGATTAGATAGCATCACTGACTCAACGGACATGAATTTGATCAAACTCTTGGAAACAGTTGAGGACAGAGGAGCTTGCATGCTGCAGTCCACAGGGTCATAAAAGGTTGGACATGACTTAGAAACTGAACAACATAGCTATTTCAGGGAAACAGCCTCTCTGCAGTCCCATACAATATAGTGAATGTACCTATGCATATCAATGAATTAATTCAAAGCACATATGCCCTTTTTGTGGTCCTGTATTTATAAAAGACGGGGGAATATTTAATTGTTGTTCAGTTGCCTAGTCATGTCACACTCTTTGCAACCTCATGGACTACAGCACACTAGCCTTCCTGCCCCCCACCATCTCCTGAATTTGCCCAAGTTCATGTCCATTGCATTGGTGATGCCATCCAGCCATCCATCCTTTGATGCCCTCTTTTACTTCTGCCCTCAATCTTTCCCAGCATGAGGGGCTTTTTCCAATGAGTCTGCTGGGCACATCAGATAACCAAATACTGGAGTTTCAGCTTCAGCACCAGTCCTTCCAAAGAGGATTCAGGGTTGATTTCCCTTAAGATTGATTTGTTTGATTTCCTTGCTGTCCAAGGGACTCTTAGGAGTCTTTTTCAGCACCACAGTTCGAAGGTATCAGTTATTTGGTGCTCTGTCTTCTTTAAAGTCTAGCTGTCACAACTGTACGTGATCACTGGGAAGTCCACAGCCTTGACTATACGGACCTTTGCCAGCAGGGTGATGTCTCTGCTTTTCAACATGCTGTCTATGTTTGTCACTGCTTTCCTCCCAAGAAGCAAACGTCTTCTGATTTCATGGCTACAGTCACCATCTGCAGTGATTTTAGAGCCCAGGAAGATGAAATCTCTCACTACTTCCACCTTTTCCCCCTCTAATTGCCATGAAGTAATGACATATAATCCTAATGTACTGACTTACCACACTTCTTCAGTTTTGTGGATAGCAAAAATTGTAGTATTTAGAAATTTTCACTTATGTTTTTCCCTTTCACTATTTTTCAGTATTAAAATAATATTGAAACATTCTTCTGGTTAATTTCACAATAGTGGAGAAAGACTGTGGTTGGTGGCTGTAAAAGCAAATTTTTATGTGCCAAACCAATGCATTAGGGGTAACCACACATATTCTAAAAACCACTAGAAATTTCTATTAAATTCCAAAAGGAACAAGATGGTGGAGGAGTAGGTGGATGTGGAGTACATGTC